ATTATTGCAAGAGACAGAAAATTAGGGTTAGGGTTGCAGAGAAACAGAGGAAGGGAAGAAGGATTCGAAGAATCCAATCCAACTCTGTATTCATCTCTCTCCCTTTCTCTTAATCTTCTCGATCTTCATTTTCCCTCACGGAATTCGAATCCAAGATTGGACAAAACCAATGGGGTTTCAATCTTTTCCGATCTCTGAAATGGACGGTACCGACGACGAAATGCAGCACGAAGCGATGTTCGCAAAACGAGGTTGTTGTTTTATCCTCCCTTGTCTCGGATCATCTCAGCCGTCTAGTCACGGCGGATCCGTTTGGTGGCAACGAATCAGAACCGTCGATAAATTAGAGCCAGAGGAGCGATGGTGGATGTCCGGTTGGAATAAGATGAGAGAATGGTCTGAGATTGTGGCTGGACCTAAATGGAAAACATTCATTCGCCGGTTTGGTCGGAATCACTGCTGCGGTGGAGGTGGAGACGGAGGTTTTAACCGGCCGGATACGGTTAGTTTCCGGTACGATTCGTGGAGTTATTCGTTGAATTTCGACGACGGGAAACAAACCGGTCGGTTCGAGGATGAGTTTCCTTACCGTGATTACTCGTTAAGGTTCACGGCTCCGTCTTTGCCGGTATCTACGAAATGCTCTATTGATTTTGACAACGATGACTACGCGCCGCCGCTGATTTAGTGAAAGCCACGCGCTTCTCTGTTTTTTCTTTATGGTCGTGTGGTGGATTCTAACGTGCGCTGCACCAGTGAAATGCGAGATATTTTAGAAGAAAGATTGGAGATTTTTTTCCTTGCAAAGAAATATTATTTATTTTCTTCTTCTTTTTTTTGTGTGTTTTTACTTGAAATTAATTTAATTATTTAATCAATATCTTCTTCCCACATTTGAGGAAATTTCCATGTACAAAAAAAAAATTTCAATATCTTATTCCCACATTTGAGGAAGTTTTAAACATATATGACCAATTCAAGTGTAAGGAGCGGATGCTGATTCACTGTAGAGTTATAGTCTGATATTTGCTAATTCCATGAATTTTGTCATATGTTTTTCAGGGTTCTTTTACAATGAGGAAAGAATTATTTTGGAAATACTTGACATATCGCTATAAAAAATACATG